TTGTACTTTTGACTTCAAAGCCATAGTGTAAGAAAAGTATTTAGGGGAAGAAATCAAATAAATATAGCGGTTGTCATCATGGTTTTTTTTTAATTGCAAATTTGCCTACAAGTGATGACTATCGAACACAGATTATAATCCATCAATAAAATATACATAAAATCAAAATATGGCCTTTTCAGTTTAGAACTAGGTTCACGTATTTCAATAGAGCATAATATTATTTGTTTGCTTTAGCACTACATGATGAACGAACTAGGCTATTAAACATTGCCTTGGTGCAATGCATAAATTCAGTATATGTCATTAAAGTGGTTGCTCACTTAACCATATTACTATGCCAGACAACCACATTTTCAAATTTTTATTTCTATTATTATTCCTATTTTCAATTGCACCCACTCATGAATGACTTTAAGAAATTTCCAAACAGTATAATCAGTTAAAACACAATAATAAAAATGATCATGGTTTGAAAATATGAACATCATTTCTATTTCTGATGGGACTAAAAATTAACTAGTCCAGTACTGATATATGAAGAATAAATGGTTAATTTTGACAATAGATTAATTTTATTACTAGCATTTTTGTTGATTAGATAAAATAAGTGTTGTGATATTAAATGAATTCTTAAAGCTATTATAATGAATTGTAACATAAAAAGTTATATTGTAATGTTTTAATCATGAATATTAGGTATTGATATGTTCTTTGAACATACTATGGTTCCTTTCTTTTGCTTTTATTCTTAAACACTAGCACCTACCTACTGCTACCAAATTGCAGCAAACATTGCCTAAACTATATTATCTGTTACACCTTGATTATTGTCTTGCTACTGATTACTATGTTTCTATTTTCAGTCAATGCTTTTAGCTACAGCAGGTGGTCAGAAACAGGAACTTCAACATACTGTGACTTCTGCAGGGTTAGTAGATGATCAGCTTTTATAGCTTCTTATTATGCTACCATAATAAAATGTCAAAAGGAGGCTGCTACAGTGATGAGAGAAAGTTTGTGAACCCTTTATAATTATCCATAATCCTGCAGTACCATGACCTACAATGTGATCAGAGCTTTATCTAAGTTCTATTAATAGATAAAGAGATTCTGGTTAAACAAACAACATGCAACTGTGTCATATCTTTATTGAACACGTTACCAGGCTATTGAGATCCAACTCAACTCAAAGCAGGATTCTCACTGAATCATTTTACTAAGAAAGCAAGTGATAAGGTTCCAGAATGCTTTCACCTTAGAACCTAGTTTATTTTTCAGTTTATTAGGAGAGAGGTTTTCCTCAACTTTTTTCTTCTGTCCTTCCTCAGAACCAATGAGATGACTATTTTCTTCTCAGATAAGTGAATATATATCTTTGTGTGTGTGTATGGGTGTGTGTGTGTGTGTGTATGTGTGTGTATATATATGTGTGTGTGTGTGTATGTATATATGTGTATATGTATGTACACACATGTACATACATATACACATACATACACATAGGCTTTGAACAAACCACTATGCACCTTGATCAAATTTAGTGTGTTTGCTGGAAACGGTACATTATGCCTGCAGACATGGTCTTTACAACACAGGCATATGGAAGTAAAATAAATGATATCCAACTCAAAAGAAATTGTTGGAGATCCTAGAAGAGAAGAGTTGATGCTCATGAGGCTAACAAGGGCTATAAAACTAATGCCAAAGACTTTAGTTTCCATCAATCCAGTCGTTCAGAAAATATACACATGAAGAAAACATACTTCTGTTTCCAGAGTTGTCCAGCAAAAATTGTTGTAGCAGCAAAGCATACAAGAGCTTGAGAGGTTTTCAGATGCTGTTTGTGTTTTGAACAGCCCTGTAGTTTGCTGTTGAAACCTGCATTTTGTGGTTAGAATTAGGGTGTTTTGTTAGAATGCAGCGTTTCATTTTGGCTAAATATGAGAAACCTCCTATCCCAGTTTGAAACTTCAATTTTTTATCCTGTTGGCTCAATTAGATTAGAGAAAATAAAATACTCCACAGGATTGGAAATATCACGTGGGGCCCCTTTGTTCTCTAAGGATCTACATAGGTTGCAATTCCTGAGAAAATGATGGATTTTGGATTATACCAGCAAATTCTATAGGAAAATGTTAAGTTACTTGTCTGTGACTTGAGCTTTAAATGAGTGTAGGATATGCAACAGACAATTCATATTTTAGAGTCTGATTTTAATGAATGATTGTATGATGTAAAACAAGGGATCAATGTAAGTATATCAGTGAGTTGAAGCAATTCTATAAAGAGAAATCAGCCAAAATACCACCAAACTCGTATGATGGATTGATCAACAGATACAGAAATTACCATTGTTGCTAAAGGAGAGGCTAGCAGTTAACAAGTAAGGTTTGCATACAGGTAGTCCTTGACTTACAATCATTCATTTAACGATGTTCAAAGTTACAACACCACTGAAAAAAGTGACTTATGACCAGTTCTCACACTTATAACCATTGTAATAGCCCCACAGTCACGCAATCAGACATGGAGTGCTTGGCAACCAGTATTTAATTACGATGATTGCAGCATCCTGGAGTCCTGAGATTGTCAATTGCAACCTACCTAGGGAGCTTCTGACAAGAAAAATCAATGTCGGATTCACTTAATGACTGCATGATTCACTTAACAACTGTAATGATTTGCTTAACCATGGCCAAAAGGTCATAAAATGGGATATGATTACTTCGCAACTGTTTTGCTGTGCAACAGAAATTTTGGGCTCAATTATGTTTGTAAGTCAAGGACTACCCATACTTTTCACAAGAAAGACCATGAATGTTGCCTTGGAGCCATGATATGAACTTATGGCACACATGCCACAGGTGGCACGGGGAGCCATATTTGCCAGCATGGCAGTCCTCGGCT